TAATACCCATCTACTCCGATACAAGTACAACAACATTATGTTAAAAATCAGATGGAATTTTTTTTAATTTCATATCTTACCATCATAGTCAAACAAAACAGGTCTACGGTATTATTTTGGTTAAACAATGTGTGGCGTCTCCGTCGAAACTTTTACAGGTTTTTGTTTTAAAGCAGCAAACTTTCGAAACTACTGTAACTGCTAATCAAATTAAACTGTATGTTTTAATAGAATTCCCCATTATAATGAATATATTGCCCAAGATTTATTTTATGAATGAATTTTAAAGTTCAATTCGAGACTACATGCATTTCCATTGTTTTATAAATACTTTTGCTTTTTACATGTATTGTTGAATGTAAAATCCAGGTCACTTGGATTTGTGTTGAAATGAATGGAACTATTTTCATATCGAAAATGCGCTTCAAACATCAGGGTGAATAGATACACATGTCAGGTTTACTGATTTTAATTGTCTTTTATTTGGAGTCTGAATTTTAGCCCGTTGAGTAAACATTGTATGTGTCGTCGTTTAATTATTCATATGGATTTGCCGATTCTTCACAGCGCATACTGTTGAACGATTTCAATGTCCCTTGCACACATTTACATAAACTACATTTTACTTACTTTTGCATGTTACTGAATGCCATTCAGCAATATACACTCCAGGTATCCGCGTAACACTTTTGGATCGTTTATAAGCTTATGCATCACAGGTAAAGAATGTTCAATACTGTTTATAACAGTGCTGAGCACCGTTGCAATGTTGTAAATGCAACCAAGCAATTCATTTTATTTGCGACCGAAAAACACACAGAGATACAGAATAACATGGGAATTTATGGAGAGACTATAAGAGAGATAAATAAAAACAAATGAGCGTTTAATTTTAACTTTCGCACAAGAAGCTGAACATTTGGAATTTCAATGCTGTAATAAAATTAGACGACGTTTCGTAAACCAAAGCTGGATAAGGATGATATGAATGGAAATCAGAACGATGATGTTTTGCTTGATGTTTCATCAAGGTTTAAAAACGTTTTCGCTTTGTTGGGACCACGGATATCTCAAGCATATATTAACTCGCAAAAACAAAAATATTCGAAGAATACCACCGGGGGAACAGAAGTGTTTTACAGCGTTTGTTACTAAAAAAATGAATTATAATATTTTTGCATTTGTTTCAAATATGTTTTTTGATTTTGACATTCTGTATTGGAGCATAGTTATGACGAATAATTCAATTCTGACCAAACAGAATTCTCAAAATGTCAAAAATATCGCCCCAATTAAAAATTCCCGGCTTTTTTGTAGATTTATTGATCGAATTATTAGCGGAACTTGAATTGTCGAATTGCTCGGCAGAGATACAGATGCATTTTGTGCAATTATGCATGTATTTGGAAGTGTAATTTGGCCCTGTGCGTGATCACCACCTTGACATTGAATCGAAACAATCGTTTGTGTTAATTTGTTAACTGTGACATTGATTCCGTTTTCAAGTCCTTGTGAAGGGGATCCTTGTGATCCTTGTGAAGGGGAGCAGAACCAATTTCTACTCATGCACAAGCATAAACTGTAGCCTTGATTGACGTAGTTACTATCTCCATACTTCTTTTCGTCATAATCACATGCACATCGTTCGGGATATAGTTGACAAACTTCTGGCCCATTCATTTGGCACAACATCGAATTCAAATTGCTTCCTGAACACTGACTGCGCCAATTAACCAACGAATAGTTGAATGAAATGAAGTTTGTGTTATTGCTTTCAGCAGCATTCATACATTCCCAGCTTCCTTTGCATTCACTGAAAAATAGAAAACAGTACAAGTTTTGAATATTGAAGAAACAATGAAGTTGTTTCAAACAAACCATATTTGCAGCAGATTGCTAGTTTCACGCCGTAATCCAGTCCAACCATTATTGTATGTGACACCATTGAATTTGCACGGACATTTTTCAATTGGGACACATTGGTTGTTATCATCTAGAGCAATTTTTTGATGTTGTTGATACTTCATCGCAGCTTCGATAGCATATTTTTGAGCACTCTTCATACACTTGACCATTTGGGCACCGAACCTCTACAAAGATATAATAACGACTTTATTTTTTTTTTTTTGATAGCGAAAAAATACACAATAATTGCACCATTTTGACTGCACCGCTTTGCATATGTTGCGTATGACGTTTCCATCATGGTTTTATAGGTTTGCGCAGTCGCTGAACACAAATAGAATATACAACTTTCGTAGTATGCTCTGGTATTAATGGTACAATTTGCAAAAATGTCACTATTAAGATAGGAGCATGATTCTTCTGCTCGCTTTTTGTGTGTTGCATTCAATTCGCAAGGATGTGGTATGTCATCAACGATTGTGGAATCGTCACAAATTTCCATAACACGCCAGGAGATACGAAAGAACTAGCATTGATTTCGACAGTTCCGTCTGGTGTTTGTAAATCATTCGATTTATCTCCGTCATAAGGTCCACACAGACCACTGGTTCGACCTTTGTATGTGGTAGGTGCCAAAATTGACGCAGTACATCGATCCCAATCAATTAACAAATCGTCCACAAATGAAATGGATACCAATTCTTCGCTCGCTTTTCGAACGATTATTGTGTTTTCCAAAAGATTCAGTGGCAGATTTTACGTTTTATCAACTCCATTAATTTCAACGCTGTGCATGGAATCATTGAATAATACAATCGATACCAATTCACCCGATTTGTTTGCATTGATTGTGAGCTGGTCTAAACAAGTATATGGATACGAATCCCCATCTATATTGAATGGAAACTTCGGTTTCGCATAGTGATCCGGCATAATCTTCTTTGCATGCACATTTATTCGGTGCAATGCAAAAGCCATTGTTTTCGCAAGGCGGAATGCAAATTGCTGTAAATATTTTTTGAAAAATGTATCTATATAAATCTATTGAATATATCGAGAGAGTATGTTATTCAGCGCTTATGGCTGAGTAATGTCTGAATGAAAACATACTCTCCTCTCGATATTTTCAATAGAAATAATATTAAATGTTCAAGCATTATCTTACGGTGGCAAGATGGTTTTTCAACAGACGAATTAAAGCTTGGCCAAATCCATTGACCATTCGAACAGATCGAATTGGTTGTTTTTTCGCCGGTTTTAAATTCGTAATTGTCGCTGCATGTATAACTACACTGCTGATTCGATACACAGCTCATTTTTGAATGTAATATGTATGAGTTGGTTTTACAAGTTGATGAAGTACTCCCTGGAGTTGTGGTTGTTGTGGTAGTTGTTCTAAAGTTAAAAAAAGAAATCAAAAAATGAAAATTAATATTTACAGAAAATAACACATTTCTAAAAATCTATAATGGTGTCGTTTGAGATTCTTAGCGTTACATATAAATTCAGAGAAATCAATTTAACTTCCAAATCTTTTCTAATAATTTTCATGAATTGTCGATGAATCCAGAGAGAATAACACACAATTTAAATTGCACAAAACTTTCCCATTAAACGTGAATCAAAATAAAAGTCACACTCACTTTTGTCCCAAGACTATGTGAGCACATAAATCAAAAATAACCAAGAATTTCCACATTTTTATAACAGCCGAGTGGCAATATTAATAAATAACTTTCAAAAATTGAATAAAAGTACAAAAAAATGTTTCTGCTTTTCTCAAGAAAAGCAATCAAGGGAACTGTTGGATGTCGATCAAAGCCATTTGCTTATATAGGACCAATTCTGCTCACGTAAATTTTATTTTATCTTGTTTTACGCAAAGCAAATTGTTTATTTAACTTTAAAAATCAACATCAAAGAATAGCGTAAGGTTGTCATTAGATAAACAAACGTTCGCATGTTTTGATAATGAGCTCTAAACAGACATTGTATTGAGATATTCTTACAATGGAAGTATTTTTACAATCACTTTTATTATTTTCATTACATTTCAGCGCCTGACATCAAAATATTCCAATAGAATAGCTTTAAATAGATTTATACACACTTTTTTTCTTGAAATTTTAGATAATTCTCTAAAAACGAACGCTTATCTATCAGTGATAAAAAGAAGTAAAAGATGATATTGAAGAATAAATAACCTTAATTAGGATTAAATAAAGAATAGTATTGATTCAACAAATCTGTTTTATTACTTTGCTTTTACTGTATCCACGTGCAATTCAAACCATTCGCCAATAAATTATATCACATTTTTTCATAAATAATTCCAAAGAGAGTGATATGTGATCCTTGTTGGGGTATGTTTGCGCTCTAAAAATGTTTTAGCTCGAAACAAATGTTGAAATATGAAATTAAATTGCTTATGTACATTTTTTTATTAAACTGTTCTATTTTTTTTGTCTTATAATAAAAAACAGAATTTTATAAAGAGGCAAACGACTACATTACTTCCTCATTTAATTGGAAAGCAAGAAAACCTTGCATTGAAAAAGATCATTTGATTAAAAAAGAAATTTTATCGTTTTGCAAAGATTGTTATAATAACTTTGTTTTTTCTCTGAATTTTTCGTCGAAAGACTCTCGTTACAAACAAGTATGCAAAATAAATGTTTATAAAATTGACGCACATACAGCGAATAAATATTTGATGTTTATGAACTTGAAATTAGTTGATTGAGATTTTGGTTTTATATTGCGATGTCGTTGTTGTGTTTCTCGCGAAAATAAGCAAAGAGTGTCGCCGACGTATTTATGTTCAATTTCAATTCAATAACATGCATTTTAATGTGTCGCGACCATGCATAAAGAAACAATAACAACTACATTTTATGGTCCATCGATGTCTTGAAACATGTTCAATAAACCATTTCACACTGATATAGTTTAAAATCAACCATCGCTGACAAATACGAAAAAATTGTTTCAATACATAACGAATTCCATGGTATATACAATTTTATTTTCCATCTCGATTTGACAGAAAAGAGCTCATTTGCATGCGACAATACACAAAAAGAATTTAGAACAATATTTGTCACTCGGCAGTTGAATCGATTGCACAGCAAACAACGAACACAACCTCAAATCAAACTCAAAAAAATTGCACAATAATTGAAAGAAGCAGCTAGTGGAGCACACCAAACGGTACGCCAAAAAGAATTTAATTTTACTGCTCAACCGTATTTTATTTCATGATATTACATTTTTAGAGAAATCAACAATGGAATGGGCACAAAGTTTTTTATGGCTGAAGAAAACACACAAAAAAACACTCGCCGAAGAAATAACAGAGCGAAATAAGGAAACGTTAAGAAAAATAAAAAAACGTTTGTGGAAAAAGGATACTTTACAACCCGGAGAAAGAAAAACAAAATATATCAATCTTTTTGATGGGGAAATTAACGGAAATGATGAATTTCTTCTAAATGAACGCATTAGATGGTTGAGTCCGAATCAAGATGAAAAATGTAACGAAATATCAACAGTTTATCGAAGACGTGGTAACGAAATTGTTTGCGCACACACTGCAATGCTCGATTACAATAGTAGTTTACGGTACGCGATACCTGGTTCGGTACATGCCGCTTTGGCGTATGCAAATAGATCGGTGTGCTTTTTTGAAATGAAAGCATTCAAACAAGCGCTGGCAGACATCAGAATGGCAAAATTAAATCAAAATTTTCCTCAACATTTGATGCCAAAACTTGAACTAATTAGAGCTTTCAGTGAACTCTTACCAATGGTGGATGTCAGTCAAAATGTTAAACAAAATTCAGTTTACCCAGTGTTGGCCAATGCTGTGAAACTCGAAAATTCAAAAAACTATAAAAAATATGGTCGACATTTGACAACGAGATATTCTCTACCAACCAAGCACACAGTTTTGACCGAAGAAGACTACGTGAAAACAGTAAACAACATAGGAATTCGTTCATGCGCCACATGCTTTGCAGAAAATCGGAATTTCATTTCGTGCCAAAATTGTACATCGTCATTATTTTGCAATAAAAATTGTGAGAAGCGTAACAAAATACACAGATGGGAATGTAATACTTTCATAACAAGAATTGACTATCAACTTCGATTCATCATTCATTCGATTCTATTGGCACTTCAAGCATTCACAAACGACGGAAAAACAGACGTTAGAACGACGGACAAGCTGATGAAATGTGTTAAAAAAATGTTAAAGAATCTCAAAAAATTACCAAAAATTAACGATTCAAAATCAATGTATCAGTTTTATTTTAAACTATCAACATCAATTCCTGAACTCTCGCCATCCGGACATTTAAGAGACATGAAACTAGTTTATGTTATTTATAATTTGCTGTTGAAAATACCGAGAATTTCTGAACATTTTCAATCTGAATTAAAACAACGTTTCCTCATGCATTTGATCACTCATCATTGTATTGTTAACGACACCAACACTTTCGATGGAATGGATACATTATCGTTGGGACTGATTGGATCGATATTTAATCATTCGTGTGATCCGAACATCATATCTGTAATCGATGAGAATAAAAACCTTTTTATAACATGTCGACGGGTGCAAAGAGATGCACAACTTTTCATTAGTTACATTGATTCCAAACAATACACTTCCGAACGACAAGCGCAACTTTGGAAAAGTTTTGGTTTTGTTTGCAAATGTGAAAGATGTGCACCAAAAAAACTTTCGTTGCTAAACAGGGTTCGAATAGCGATGCATAGTTTAGCCAACCGTTTTGATATAGATTAAATATAAATAAGATTCACTACGAAAATTTTCCTGATATAAACAAAAACAATTTGAACATGACTTAAATTTTAATAAAATGTATTTGATTTCAATCTAAATCATACGACTTTGTTTGAGAATCTTTTTTCATATTTATTTATTTAGCATTTTCATCATACATCATACCAGTTGGAAACACAATTTTTGCTATAAAACTCAATATCATATATACAGCGTATAAAAAATTATTTTACTCATGTTTAAAAAGAGGCTTTATAACGAAAAACGGGGCTATTCAATTTTATTTTTATTTTTGATATAGGCTCAATTGCATGTGACAACACATAAGAAGATAATTTAGAACAAACATTTGAAATGGCGTCAAACGTTTATTGAAAGAAGCAGCAAGCACACAAAACGGTATCTCCAGAAGATTTTTTTTTTCAACAATTTTTTTCTTTATATTTAATTCCGTTTTCTTATAGGTACCAACAATCGAATAGGAATATAGTCGAAAGATAATGGAATACATAAGAAAAAATCTGTGGAAAAAGGAAAAAACACGAAACAAACATGGAAAGCAATATGTTGATCTTTTTGATGCTGAACTCACCCCCCAAGATAAGTTTCAACTAGACGCACGCATTGAATCGTTGGGTGTACCTCCTTCTGGCAAAAATGATGATGTATCAATGAGAGAAAGACGAAAAGGAAACCAGATTGCTTGCGCCTTCACTGCACTGGACGTGTACAATAAAAGTTTACGATACGCAAAAGCCAATTCGGTGCATGTCGCTTTAATATATGCAAATAGAGCATCGTGCTATTATCAAGCGGAAGAATACCGCCTAGCGTTAGAGAACATCAGTATGGCAAAACGACATGACAAATTTCCAAGAGATATGCTGCCAAAACTTCTAGAAATAGAAGAGTTTTGTAAAAACGCACCATTGGAAGACAAACCAAGACCAACGCGAAATTCCGAATTGACTTACATACCCCATGAAAAACATCCATGTTTGGCCAAAGTAGTGAAAATCGACAACACTGATACATACGGCCGAAATGTAATTGCAAGATTTAAGCTAGAACCTAAAGATATCATTTTAATTGAAGAAGACTACATAAAAACAATTGATCTTAAAAATCTACGCGAATGCGCGACGTGTTTCGCAGAAGATAAAAGTTTTATTGCATGCGATGGTTGTACAGATGCAATGTTTTGCAACATAAACTGTCAGGCTCAAAACCAAATACACAAATGGGAATGTAATACCTTCATAACACAGATCAACTATCAACTTAAGTTTATCATTCATTCGATTCTATTGGCACTTCAAGCATTCACAAAAGACGAACAAACAGACATAGATAAACTTATGGAATGTGTCGAAAAAATGAAAAAGAATATCACCAAATTACCAAATTCAACTCTTGACCCACTATCGAAGTACATATTCTATTTTAAATTAGCAACAAGTGCTCCAGAAATGAAATCCAGCGGTGATTTTAGCGGTGCGAGTCTAGCTTATGTCATTTTTCAACTTCTGATGAAAATACCGAAAATTTCGGATCTCTTTGAAACGCTACCACAACTCCGTTTCCTCATGCATTTGATCGTTCACCATAATCTTGTAAATGACACTAATTCATTCGGTGGCAATAAAACACAAAGCTTAGGCCTGGTTCAGTCATTGTTCAATCATGCCTGTAAACCAAATCTGGATTCCATCTTTATTCAAAACAAACATTTTTATATAGCGAATGCAAGAATAAAACCAGGTCAACAACTTTACATAAGTTACATTGATTTGGAAGGCAAGCTTAACAGGGAACAGCGTAGAGCATATATTCAGCGAAATTGGGGCTTCGTTTGCGGGTGTGAAATATGTAAACCGAAGAATTTATCGTTATCACATAAAATTAATGATCAACTCAAAATGATTTTAGCCAATCGTTTTGAAACAATAGAAAATACACCTACAATAGCTATAGAAGCAAAAGATACACACAAAAATGATGCAGCAACAGTTGTAAGTTCAACAAAAAATACACCAGAACAGTTAACAATAGCTACAATGCATGGACCAGATGACATAATAGAATATCCATCAGGTGCTTCATCTTTAGAAAATATAGCAGAAAACAGATCAGAAGATACATCTACACAAGAACTGGTTGAACGTGTAACAATAGCTACAATACATACACCAGTTGTCACAAGACAATATCCACCAGGTGGTCCATCTTTAGAAAGTAAATCAGAAGTTACAACAGAACATATACAAGAAGACGTAAGTATATCAGCTGCTGAATTTCCAGAAAATCCATCAGCGGAAAATTTATTCGATGAAAAACCAGCCGATAGTGCTGTTGAGGTTGAAAATGCAGCCGATAGCGCATCAGATGTCGAGGGTGAAAATGCAGCTGAGGCTCAAATGAACGTTTATCAGGAAAAATATTATACAATTTAAAAAGGGCACAAGTATGACATTTAGAGCAAAGACGAAAAACAAAATACATATAATGAAGTAAAATCTATTCGCCTGAATAATTAAAAATGACAACAAAAGCGATATAGATTTTTCTAAGGCATTCAAATATAAATTCGACATCAGATAAAAATAAAACTTACAAAATTTTAAATGAAAAAAAATTTGTATTTTTTCCCTGAATTTTTGAAATCCCGTCTCTGAGAATCTATACCACTGAAACGTACGAAAATTTCATTGTGTTTAGTTTTGAAATAAAATCTATTCGTAATTTATCCAATCTAACGAAAAACGGAGCTATTCAATTTGCAGTCGATTATGTTTTCGATTTCATTTTGACAGATAAAGGCTCATTTGCAAGCGACAACACACTTGACAAACCGTTTGCACAACAAACAACGAACACAACCTTTAAATCAAACCATATGACATTTAACATTTATTGAAATAAGCGGCATATCGAAAAGCGGTATACCCAAAAGGGTTCAAAAGTATTTGACTTAACTTTTTCATAAAATAATATAACATAGGCACTGACAATGGAAAGAATACTTAATTTCCTGTGGCCGAAGAAAATAAGAAAAAAAGAAAATATCGAACTTAAGGTATGTTGACACACAATGTATTGAGATATTGTCAGCTGCATTGCTTTTCGTATTTTTACGAAGTCTTCTCTTTCATATAAATATTGGATGTTGTCAGCTAGATGCGCTGAAATATCTCAATACATTGTCTGGTTGAGAAGAATGGAATCCCTCAAAGAAATTTACTTCATATAAAGGAATTACCAGACAAAGAGATTAGCGAAGATGAAATATCATTGGGATTGCAAGAGATAATGAACAAATTAAGGAGCGACCTGTGGAAAACGCAAACAATAGAAAACGTCGATGGAATAAAATATATTGATCCTTTTGAATCCGCATTCGATTATAGATGTAAAAGGGACCTCGATCGAACAGTTAAATTGTGGAGCGAGGAACCAGATTTCAAAGATAATGCAACATCATCAAGAAAACGAAAGAGTGGAAACCTGATAATTTGTCCATTTATTGCATTGGATTGCCACAATGAGAGTTTACGATATGCAGAAAATGGTTCGTATAATTTGAGCTTAGCGTATGCAAATAGAGCAGCGTGTTTTTTTGAAATGGATTTGTACGATCAAGCGTTACAGAACATTAGACTTGCAAAAGGATGTGGTCATTTTCCGCAACATTTGCTACCAAAACTTTTACAACTAGAACAGAATGCCAGAACCGCAAGTGGCAAGGAGATTGAAAACGAATCATTGGAAATATGGGCACCGAGAGAGAGGATGCCTGTATTGAGTTACATAGCCAGCAAAAATCATCCATGTATGGCCGATGTGGTGAAAATCAAATTGAGCGAACAATATGGTCGATATATGGTTTCAAAGTATAAAATTCCTGCTGAAAAAACCATATTGATTGAAGAAGAATACCTCACAACAATTAACATTGATAAATTACGTGCGTGCTCAACTTGCTTTGCAGAAGATCAAAATTTTATTCCATGTGAACATTGTACAGAGGCAATGTTTTGCAATGAAACTTGTCAGAATCGCAACCAAATACACGAATGGGAATGCAATACTTTCATAACAAAGATTGACTTTCAAATAAAAATCATTATTCATTCAATTCTATTGGCCTGTGAAGCATTTACAACAAATGGCAAAACAAACGTGACCGAACTTATCGGATGCATTGAAGGAATGCTAAAGAGTCTCAATAAATTTCCAAAGTCGACGGTTGACTCAAAATCAAAGTAAGTTATTAATATTGAAGTTAATTATTATTTACTGAAGTTGGCATTCTTTTTCAAATCATTTCTAGATATCAATTCTTTTTTAAATTGGCATCAAACGTTCCTGCTATTGGATATAATGGTGTGCTCATCCAATTGGAAGCACTCGAGCAAATTTACGTAATTTTTTCACTGCTGATGAAAATACCGAGAATTCATGCTGCCTTTGATTCTGTAGAAAAACGCAATTTTCTCAAGCATTTAATCACTCATCATTGTCTCGTTATCGACACAAACGCATTTGGTGATGATAGGTCACAGTCTTTGGGTCTGGTAATAATTTTTCAAAATAATAGAAAAACTTTCATCTTATCAGATACGATTCAAACAAATTCGATGCTTTTCCTTTCCAGGTTGAATCGCTATTCAATCATTCATGTGCACCGAATATTCATCACGAGCAAATTGGAAACGAGCAATACTTTTATACAGCTGAAAAAGTGAAAAAAGGAGTTCAGCTTTTCATTAGTTACATTGACCTCAATGATAGTACAAAGCAAAGACGTCGCATCCTCAAAAGAGGCTGGGGATTTATTTGCAATTGTATTATATGTGCACCAAAAGAACTATCGTTGAACGACAAGTGCCAGCTTGCCATCATGACGATTTTACATAATCGTTTTGATACAGAAGAAAATACACCAGAACAAACACCAGAAGAACCACCACAAGAACTATTATAATATTATTGTATACAAGATTCATGGGTATAAAAGGAATTTGATTTTTGTGTCAGCAAATGCCGCGCACGAAAACCTTTTCTGATAGGTGTCAACGATGAAGAATATAAGAGGAAGTTTCTGTGGCCAAGGAATAATAAGAGAACTTGATGTATGTCGAAAAGAATTTAATTTAATTACTCAAACAATTCTATTTTTAAAAGTTGTATGTCGGACATACTTTGTTCATGTTGTTCACAAACCAATTTTAGTGGTTCATAAATAAATTGTTTCATTTCTGTGAGTGTTTATTTACTTGAACGTTGTGAATCGCGAATTGAAAAAAAAATCCAAAAAGCATATTTTCAGATCAGTTCGTGGTATTTTAAGCGTCATTATAGTGACATTTCTCCGAATTTTTTAAACACGTCAAAAAATAAACAATCAATAACAAAAACATATGAAAAAAAAAATTCCGAGTTAATATTTCGATATACAAAGCATTCATTGAATGCCATTCAAGCATTCCTATAACGGAAAACGAAGCTATTCAATTTGCCAAGAGTTTTTTTTATTCAATTTCATTTTGACAGATAAGGGCACATTTGCATGCGACCACACAATAAAAAAATTAGAACCGTACTTGACATGACTACTCAAGACTCGATTGTACAACAAACAACGAACACAACCTATAAATCAAACTAAATGGCATTAAACATATATTGAAATAAGCAGCAAACTGCGTCCGAAAAACGGTCTGTTATTTTTTTTTTTTTTTCGAAAATGAAGAGAATTTTATTTAATGTATTTTACGTTTTGTTATAGGCACCAAGAATGGAACGGATACGGAATTTCCTGTGGCCAAGAAGCGCAGCAGAATACATTGATCTTGTGGTACGACCAAAAATATATATTATTTCTTATCTTTCTTCATAAAACAATTTTCTCAAAGGAACAACCGGTTGAAGATCCAACAGCGATCATATGGAAAACGGATGAGGTTGGAGAATATGTTGATATTTGTGGTTCATTAATCGAAGTAAATGAATTTAATGAAGAATTTCAAGAATTAATTGAGAAACCAGTTGAAAAAAATAATAAACTTTCAACAATGAAAAGAAGGTTTGGAAATCTGGTGCTTTGTCCATATGCTGCACTAGATTTCCACAATGAAAGTTTACGATACGCAGAAATCGGTTCGATACATGTCGCTTTAGCGTATGCAAATAGAGCATCGTGTTTTTTTGAATTGGAATTGTACGATCAAATGGCAGTGAACATTGTACTTGCGACAAGTGATGAAACTTTTCCTAAGTATCTGTTGCCAAAAATTATGGAACTTAAGAAAACGGCAGATTCGATCAAAAAAAACGTTGGACAAGAGGAAACTTATGAAGAAGCATTTGCAGCATGGGTAAAACGGGCAATCGGAAGGGAACCCCAATTGAGTTACTTAGCCAGCAAAAAACATCCATGTTTGGCTGATGTGGTGGAAATCAAAGAGAGTGCACAATATGGTCGATATATTGTTTCAAAGTATGAACTTCCAGCTGACCAAATCATTTTGATTGAAGAATACTACTTGAATGCGGCTGATGTTAAAAAACTTCGTTCATGCGCCACTTGCTCAAAAGAAGACAACAATTTCATTGCATGCGAACATTGTACGGGGGCAATGTTTTGCGATAAAACTTGTCAGAATCGTAACGAATTACATAAATGGGAATGCAATACGTTTATAACTAGCATATATAATCGTGCGAGAACAATCATTTATTCAATTTTGTTAGCCATTGAGGCATACACAGAAAACGGCAGAATCAACGTGAACGAGCTCATGGAATATGTGAAAGAAATGTTAGACAAAAGGAAAAATGGAACGGATAAACTACCAGAATCAACGCTTGACTCAAAGTCAAAGTAAGTTATTATTATTGAAGTTAATTATTTAAGTTACTGGATTTGTCATTCTTTTTCAAATAATTTCTAGATATCAATTCTTTTTAAAATTGGCAATATGCGATCTTCAATCTGAACTAAAAGAAACGTTCACTAGTCTAATTTATGTGACTTTTTCACTTTTGATGAGTGTACCGAAAATTGAAGCTGCATTCAAAAGTGAGAAAGAGCGTAATTTTCTTATGCATTTGATAGGTCACCATATTCTAGTTATTTCTACAAATGCGTTTGGGGATGAGGATAAACTGTCACTAGGACTCATTGAATCATTATTTAATCATTCATGTAAACCAAATATTGATCGCAAACAATTTTTAAACAAGCAATATTATTTCATAGCAAATAAGGTGGGAAAAGGAGTTCAACTTTTCATCAGTTATCTTAATACTGAAGCGCTTAAAACCAGTTCAACTAACAGACGGCAGATTTTATTTCGAGGTTTTGGTTTCATTTGCAATTGTATTATTTGTGCTCCCAAAGTTCCAACGATATTCGATAAGTGTAATCGTAAAGTCTTTAATATCTTAGTCAATCGATTTTGTACTCAAGAAGAAATTAATGAGATTCATGAATTATTATAAATAAAATAAGATACGTCATGTATAAAATGGATTCAACATCATTTGAAACAATAATACATTAAAAAGAATTTAAGTTTGAATAAAATGTATTTGTTCAGTAATGAAATCCCTACTAAAGAGCTAGAACTCCGTTTGCATTTTTTTATCAATGCATAGTAACTTACATACGATATTCTATCGGTCACCCATTCAAACAATGACCAAAGCCTATACAGCTTAACTCAGTGAGCCACGGTTTACCCGTGATTTCAGGCCTATTCAACTTTGTTTTTGATAGCAGCTTTGCGTGGCACAAACAGTAAAAAAACTATCAATTTTGTAGTACGAAATCGTATGCGGTCAAGAGTCTTCTCTGAATTTCATTATGATTTATTAAAAATATTGTTATCTTTTATATGAGTAATATTTTGGAATAGTGACATTTCTTCACATCTTTTACATTGTTGTTATTCATTTTTATTATGAACAAAGTAGATGAGCTCATTGGCAAAATTGCGCGAAATGTACACGGCCTATAACGCCAAACGAGACTATTCAATTTGCAGAAGATAATTTAGAACAATATTTATCACCCTTAATTGCATTTGTTGTACAATAAACAACGAACATAACCTGTAAAATCCAACTGTATGACGTTGAACATTCATTGAAATAAGTAGCAGGTCGTGCACGAAAAACGGTCTAACAGAATTTATTTTCAATAATCAATTCACAAGCCGCAATCCCTGACAGGTAGCAACAATGGAAAGTATGCGGAATTTAATGTGGACAAGAAAGAAAAAAACTGTTGAAACTGAGGTATTTCCAAATAAATTTTTTTTTCTAATAAAATTGTATTCCATAAAATTACTTTCTGAAAGGAATTTCCAGTTAAAGATCCATCAAAATATCTATGGGAAAAGGACAAAGACAGTGATCAATATATTGATCTTTTTAGTATCGCATTAGAAGATGAGGTAAAAAATGAAGTCGAGGAAGAATTCGAAGAGTTAACCCAGAACCCAGATCGCAAAGAAAATGCAAAATCAAAAAATTATCGAGATATTGGACACACTATAGTTGACCCATTTGTTGCATTGAATACTTACAATAAGAGTTTACGATACGCAGAAATCGGTTCGAGACATGTCTCTTTGGCATATGCAAATAGAGCATCGTGTTTTTATGAATTGACAGAATACAAAAAAGCGTTCGTGAGCATTAATATGGCGAAAGAAGATGTACATTTTCCGACATTTTTGCTGGCAAAACTTGCAGAATTAGAAGAGAATATTAAAGCAAGATTCAGAGAGAAGCATGAAAAGGAGATTGAAGAGGTGGGAGATCCAACGGAAGTGAGACGCGAATTGGCTTACGCGGCCAACAAAAAACATCCATGTTTGTCTGATGTGGTGAAAATCAAAGAGAGCAAACAATATGGTCGATACATAGTTTCTAAGTATAAACTTCCAGCTGACCAAATAATTTTGATTGAAGAAGCCTACTTACATGCGTTTGATACTGAAAGTCTCCGTTCATGTGGCACTTGCTTAACGGAAGATGTAAATTTTATTGCATGCGAAGGATGCACAGAGACAATGTTTTGCAACAAGGAGTGTCAGGCTCGTAACGAATTACACAAATGGGAATGTAATACCTTTTTAACAAGCGTTATTCATCAAATTAGAATTGCCATTTATTCAATTCTATTGGCCATTGATGCATTCACAACAAATGGCGAAACAGACGTGAACGAACTCATTCAAGGCGTGGAAAAACTGTACAAAGAAAAAGAAAAAAAACAATACCCCGAATCAACGCTTGACTCGAAATCAAAATATCAATTCTTCTTTAAATTAGCTATTTCAGGTCTTGATCCCGAACGAGCTGAATTGGTCATCCGAATAATTTATATGATTTTTTTGATGGTGCTGAAAATACCAAAAAATCAATCTTTGTTTGTAGATGAAAAAAGTCGTCGTTTTCTCCAGCATCTGATTACTCATCATATTTGTGTTATCAATACCAACTCATTTGGTGAAGAGAATTCAACAACTTTGGGACTGGTAATAATTTTTCAAATTAATAGTATTTTTTTTTTAATTCAGATAACATACAATTCAAACCAAGTCGTTTAAACTCAATGCTTTCTTTTTCCAGGTTGAATCGTTATTCAACCATTCCTGCGCACCAAGTATTAATCGTGAACTTATTTCAAACGAGCAATATTATTACACAGGCAAAAAGGTGCAAGAAGGAGTTCAACTGTTCATCACATACCTTAACCTTGAAGCCTATAAGGATAAATCTGTTCGTCAAAAAAAGCTAAGAGAAAATTGGTGTTTTGACTGTAATTGTATTGTATGTGCACCAAAAGAGCCTTCGCTAGCTGACAAGTGTAATTCTGCACTTATGACCATATTGTATAATCAGTTTGAGAGAGAATTTGAAAATGTTTCACATGTAGACACAGTTGTAGACACATTTGAAGACTCAGCAGTAGATAGATCTGAAAATGAAGCAATTGAAATGCTAGAGGTTACAGCTGATGACAATTCAAGAATGAAGTTCAGTTTAGAAGAATGAAGTATTATGTAAAGGAGAATTGAGCAATAAAAAAATCTTGAAATATCATTGTGTATAATGTATTCAATTTTGATGACAGTTAAAAGAAATTCGCCAATACTTTTTTTTTTCGATTTTGTTTTGACAGAAAAGGGCTAATTTGCATGCGACAACACACGAACATAATGTTAAACTGCATTTGACAGATTGCTATTGAATTGATCATACAACAAACAAACTCCAAAATCAAAGTTTATTTTTACATTTATTGAAAGAAGCAGCAAGTCGAGCACACAAACGGTAAAACCAAAAGAATTTATTTTTATTGATCAAAGAACTCGGTTTTATAAAACAACATTTTCCTAGGCATCAACAATGGCATTGATAGACCATGGTGCGATTGAATTAATGGAGAGCCATGATATGGTGGAAACCGCTGCGATAGAGATGTTCAAACTACCGAAAACGAAAAAGAAACAAATGGTATAACCAAAAGGATTTATTTTTACTGTTCAAACAATTGGGTTTTAAAAAATCACCTTTTCCTAGAAACAAACAACGGCAGATCCATATGATTGGATAAAAATGATGGAGATAGATGAACGACGCAGAAAGGAACAGGCACAGCTATTGGAAGAATTGAAAGAAGAGAGAAAAGAAAATGAAAAGCAATTGGAAAGTCTAAACAAAAATTTGTGGCAAAAAGAAACAACAAAAAGGGGAAAAGAATTGTACATTGATATTTTTGATGCAGCCCTCGGTGCTAATCGTTCAAATAGACCCGATCGTGAAGTTGAAATGTTAAGTAAGGAATCAGAAGGCAAAGACAACGAAACATCAAGAGAAATGCGAAAGAAAGGAAACCAGATTGTTTGTCCATCGGTTGCACTGGATATGTACAATAAGAGTCTACGATACGCAGAAGTCGGTTCGCTACATGCCACTTTGGCGTATGCAAATAGAGCGGCCTGTTATTATACGATGCAATACTATGGTCAAGCGTTAGAGAACATCAAATTGGCAAAACGAGATAAAAAATTTCCCAAACATTTATTGCAAAAACTGAATGGCATGCAACATTGGGCAGAATCATATTATATAGAAAGAAAGGCGGCAGAAAAGTCTCAGCTGAGTTATGTAGCCAACGAACAACATCCCTGTATGTCCGCTGTATTGAGTATCAAAACGAGCCCAATCTTTGGTCGATACTTACGTGCAAAATATAAACTTAAAAAATTGGACGTCATTTTGATTGAAAGGGATTACATAGCAGCAATGAATACTGAAAAAGTCCGTTCATGTGCGACTTGCTACGAAGAAGACAAAGATTTCATTCCATGCGATGGATGTGCAGGTGCAATGTTTTGTAACGAACACTGTAAGAATGTTAACTCAGTACACAAATGGGAATGTAATACATTCGTAACAAAACTGGAATTTCGTCTAAGGCTTTTCATTCAATCAATTCTAATGGCCATTGATGCATTCACAGTCGATGGTATGGCGAATGTGGGCGGGCTTATGAAGTGTGTGGAAGATATGCTGGATGAAAAACGCAATAAAACCACAACATTTCCAAGCTCGACGCTTGACCCGAAATCGAGGTACCAATTCTTTTTTTCATAACTGAATTATTGGAGTTAATTATTTAATTTACTGAAGTTGACATTCTCTTTCAAATAATTTCTAGATACCAATTCTTTTTTAAATTGACATCGTCTATGAAGCTATTCGAATATACTGAATCGTACATGAAATTAAAATCCATACAGATAGTTTACACAATTTATTCATTGCTCATGAAAATACCAAAAATCGAGGCAATATTTGCAGGTGAAAAGAAGCGCCGTTTTCTGCAGCATTTGATCGCCCATCATATTTTTGTAATCAACAACAACTCGTTCGGCGATGACGATTCACAGTCATTGGGACTGCTTCAATCGTTATTTAATCATTCATGTAAACCGAATATTTTTCACCGCAAAATTGCAAAAGAGCATTATTTTTTCGCAGGTAAAAAAGTGAAAAGAAAAGAACAACTTTTCATCAGTTACATTGAAGTTAAAGACATTGAATGCCGATACCGTCGCCGAGAAGTGATTGAAAGAAGCTGGGGCTTTATTTGCAATTGTATTCTGTGTGAGCCAAAAAGGCTATCGATAAGCGACAAATTGAATGATGCAATCAAGACCATTTTATATAATCGTTTTGATGTAACAGAAGATGGAACAGAAGATGCAATAGAAGGTGCAACAGAATATACATCAGAACGAACTAATTTAATGGAATCTGTATTAGGAAGCACACAAAAACAACCTGCATCAAAGATAACTAATATACCGAAGTTTTTGCCTGATTTTAAACAAGGATATACACCAGATTTTATACCATTCACACCAGAACATAAAGCCACACCTATAGAAGATACATCAGATAACACATCATCAGATTCATCAGAAAAAAAGAATGTTTCGATAAAATCTAGATTGGGAGATGCAGATATAGTTGGAAATATAAGAAAACCTGGTTATGAACCTGAATGTGTACTTGGATATAAACCTTCTACAAGTGCAGATAACACATCATCAGATTCATCAGAACAAAGGGAAGTTTCGATAAAATCTAGATTGGGAGATGCAGATGATCAAATATTTAGGAGAAAACCTGGTTATGAACCTGAATGTGTACTTGGATATAAACCTTCTACAAGTGCAGATAACACATCATCAGATGCATCAGAACAAAAGGAAGTTTCGATAAAATCTAGATTGGGAGATGCAGATGATCAAATATTTAGGAGAAAACCTGGTTATGAACCCGAATATGTACTAGGATATAAACCTCCATCAGGTGCTCCATCTTTAGAAAGTACATCAGAAGATACATCTACACCAGAATTGGTTGAACGTGTAACAATAGCTACAATACATAGATCGGATGACACA